GACGGGGTACCGGGACGAGTCCTTCGCATTGCCCTGAAGCATCTCGGGACCCGCCTCAAGCATCTCATGGATGACTGCTTGAGGACGGGGTTGTTCCCGAGATGCTGGAAGGAGGGAAGGCTCGTCCTGGTGCCTAAGCCGGGCCGACCTGCGGACTCCCCCTCGGGATTCAGGCCCCTCGTCCTGCTGGACGAGGTGGCGAAGATCCTGGAGCGAATCATCGCCTCCAGGATCAACGAACACCTGAGGGGGACAGGCCCCGATGTGTCGCAGCGGCAGTACGGGTTCAGGGCTGGACTCTCCACCCTGGACGCTCTGGAGTCGCTGCGACACATCGTGGAGGAGGGTAACGGCGAGAGGGAAGGCGTGGTGGCTGTGTCATTGGACATAGCCAACGCCTTCGGCACTCTCCCCTTCGCCGTTATCAGGGAGGCGCTGAGGTACCATAATATCCCCAGGTACCTCAGCCGTCTGGTGGAGCACTACCTGGAGGACAGGGTGGTGCTCTACCAGACGAGGGAAGGGAGGCGCGCCGAGCGCCCAATGAGGTGCGGAGTACCCCAGGGGTCCGTATTAGGACCACTACTGTGGAACCTGGGGTATGATTGGGTGCTGAGGGGCGCGCTGCTTCCCCGGACGGCGGTCATCGCGTACGCCGATGACACGCTGGTGGCCGTCCGGGGGACCACCTTCCAGGAGGCGGCCCGAAGAGCCTCAGTAGCGGCGGACATGGTGGTCCGCCGAATACAACTGCTGGGGCTCGAGGTCGCCGTGCCGAAGACGGATGTGGCCGTCTTCGGCGGGAGGGGTAGAGGTTGGGCGGTGCCGGCAGGCGCCCACATCTCCATCGCAGGAGTATCGGTCCCGGTCAAGTCCCAGATGAAATATCTGGGACTTGTCCTGGACCGGCGATGGAACTTCGGGGAGCATTTCCGGCAACTTGCTCCCCGAATAGTGGGCGCCGCATCGGCGTTGAGCAGGCTCCTGCCCAACCTCGGGAGGCCGGGAGCCCCATGCAGAAGGCTATACGCCGGGGTGACCCGGAGTATGGCCTTATACGGGGCTCCCATTTGGAGTGGGGCCTTATCAGCGGCGACGAAGTCGCTGCTGAGGAGGCCCCAGAGGGTGGTCGCCCTGCGAATGTGCAGGGCGTACATGACGGTGGCCTGCGCTGCCGCATGCGTCCTCGCCGGTACTCCGCCGTGGGACCTCGAAGCAGAGGTCCTGGCGGCGGTCCGCACCTACCGGCGGGGAATGAGGGACCGAGGCGAGCGACCCGCTCCCCAAGAGGTGGAGCGCGAGCGCCGCCTCGCGGCGCAGCGCATGCGGGACCGGTGGAAAGAGGGCTTGGCGGATCCCCCCTATGGCGCTCGTACCATAGAGGCGATCCGCCCTGTCCTCGTAGAGTGGGTAAACCGGTCCCACGGGCCACTGTCGTTCCACCTTGTGCAGGTGCTGACCGGGCACGGCTGCTTCGGTCACTACCTGCACAAGGTGGCGAGGAGGGAACCGTCCCCGTCGTGCCACGAGTGCGGCGCTGCGGATGACACCGCGCAGCACACCCTAGAGGTGTGTAGCCGGTGGGATGAGCAGCGCCGCACTCTGACGGGGACTGTAGGGCAGGACCTCTCGCTGCCGAGCGTGGTTGCCGCCATGCTCGAAAGCGAGGAGTCCTGGGAGGCGGTGGCCTCCTTTTGCGCAGAGGTTATGTCGCAAAAGGAGGCCGCGGAGCGGGTGCGCGAGGACGCGGCGGACGCGCACCCGCTCCGGCGCAGACGTACGGGGAGAAGACGAAGGCAGTTCGCTGCTCGCCTGATCCCCTAGTGAGACCAGCGGGCTCTGGACAGGGACTCCGGAGCCTGCACTGCATAGCCTCACTCGTCTGGGGGGCGGGTCGGAGGACAACCGACTCGCCCCTCCGTTGGCGCGGGAGCCCTGGCGTAAGCTAGGGCGGCCGGGCGGCGTCGTGGTGAATGTTCACTGATCCCACGGCGCCGACTCAACCGGCGAGAGGGAAACCCGGGGGAGTTTTAGTGGGGTAGTCCCTCCAGTTTAGAGGGAGAGTCCCCACATAACTCCTGAGTCTCCCTGGGCTCAGGGGTATCCATAAAGATTCCCCCCCCTCACAGCTTGCTCCCCGGGTGAAGGGCGCTCGCCTCGGGCCCTGGCTTCCTCCCTTGCGCGGTGCGTTTCCGCCAGCACCCCCGCCTCCAGCTCCCACGGCATTGTGCCGGCGAGAACGCACGCCGCCGCCCAGGCTACCGTACGGTAGGCCCTGCACATCCTAATAGCCACGACGCGTTATGGCCTGCGCAGGTGGTGTTGGCAGATGTGAGGGCGTCGTGCCATATAGGGGCCCCGTAAATGCTGCGCGCTACACCCGCGTACACGTGGCCCCAGGTCCCCCGACGTTCGGCAGCAGACGGCCAAGTGCCGCTGCGGCGCCCACCACCCGGGGAGCAAGCTGTTTGAAATGCTCCCGGAAGTTCCAGTGACGGTCCAGCACAAGCCCCAGATATTTAATGTGGGCCTTGACCCGAACCGCCTCCGTCTCTATGGCTATGTGGGCGCCAGCAGGGAGCCGCCATCCCCCACCCAGTCCACCAAACACTGTGGCCTCCGTCTTGCTCAGCGCCACCTTGAGCCCCAACAGTTCGATGCGGTGGACAATCATGTCCGCCGCCACTGACGCCCTCCGCGCCTACCTCCTAATAGTTGCCTCCCCGGACAGCCACTATTGTGTCGTCAGCGTACGCGAAGATGGCCATTCGAGGGGGCAACGTCGCCCTTAATGCCCAATCGTACCCCAGGTTCCACAGTAGTGGCCCGAGGACGGACCCCTGGGGTACTCCGCACTCCACATTTCGTGCTACTATCTGGCCGCCTCTCGATTGATAGAGCACCACCCTGTCCGTCAGGTAGTGCCGCACCAATCTACGCAAGTAGAGGGGCACCCCGTGATATCGGAGCGCCTCCTCCACTACGCCGTAAGGGAGGGTGCCTAATGCGTTGATGTTGTCCAACGATACCGCGACAACCCCCTCCTCATTGGCGGCCGCCTCATTGGTGAACACCCTCAGAGCCTTGATGGCGTCCAGTGTCGACCGTCCGGTCCGGAATCCAAATTGGCACCGGGAAATGTCTGGGCCCCTCCCGGTAAGGTGTTCACCGATTCTAGAGGCCAAGATGCGCTCAAACAACTTCCCGTCCTCGTCGAGCAGGACTATGGGTCTGTATGCGGAAGGAGACTCCGGCGGGCGCCCCTCCTTCCGCAACAGGCACAGCCTCCCCTCTTTCCAGCGCCTTGGAAATCGGCCGGCCTCCAGACAGTCGTTAAAGATCTGTTTGAGGCGGTCGCTGAGGTGCTCGAGGGCAATATGCAGGGCCTTCCCCGGGACTCCGTCTGGTCCCGGAGCTTTCCTGCACGATTTAAGGCGGCCGATTGCCCACGGCCACTCTTCATCCGAATACTTCCCCCAGAGCAGCCTCTCCCGGCTGCTCTGGGGGAAGTATTCGGTCAACCCAGGCAGTGCCCCCTGTACCTGGGTAGCTCTGATACGTCCTGGGAGGTCGGGCGGTCTCCCAGGGAAGGCCGCTAGGTGGGTAGGTTGCGCATTCCGCCTACCAACCCGCCGAAACGGGCGTGTTGTCGCCGCGCGAGGCCCTGAGGGGCGCCCCAACGACAGCACCTTTGAGAATTTTTATTGTGGTTGTTTTCCACTCGGGCCGGCCAATTAAGGCAAGCCCCCTGGTCCCAGCCGGTCGATAGACCTGGTCTATATCTATCTATCTAGGGATAACAGGTCGCCCGGCGATGGCCGTAGCCTGTCCGAACAGTCGTAGCACTACAACTGTCGGTACCCGCCGCGTTTACGAGCCTAGAAGAGGCCCGCCTACCCCATCCCCGCGTTGTGGACCCTCAGCTCCAGACGAAGCCCTCATCATGAGGGTTCCGTCATCCCTCATGGGCATAGATGCAAGCTGGGGGCTTGCATGACGATGAGTTCATTGATGAGCCCGCCATACTGGCTCTATGCCCGCCTCATCGAACAGCACGATGTGCCGATGTGTGTGAGGGAGGAGAGAAACTCTCATCCCCCTCCGGGAACAGGCCAACCACCGCTTGACCGAGGAGCTCCGTTTCCATCGTTCTCCTCCTCCTGGGGCGTGTGACGCCTTCTGCGTCACCGCTTGTGCGCCCTCCGCGCGACGTTGCTGGCGGATCGCAGAAGCGCGAGCTCGTGCGTTCACCAGTAGACCTCCCTCTTGTTAGGAGGCCTGCCGCCGCTACGGGGCATTGCGGCATCGCAGATGGCAGTCAGATTCCTTCTGAACCCGACTGCGATCTCGTTCGAACCCACTTGGCGCCCAATGCGGCCACCATAGCCGCCTCCGTTGCCCTTTCGGCATCGAATTTGGCGAGGGCCCAACGGGGAAACCCCTCTCGCCTTCGCCCTCGCCCTGCAGGCACCATCTTTGACGCCTGCGAGGAGGAGACCCTGGACCTTATGTACACGTGGTCCGAAAGGGTCTCCTCCCACTCCAGCACCGCCAGTTCTACACTTGTGAGGCTAGGGTGGGGGTCGCGAACGTTATATCCACGGCGGAACCCTCCCCACCTCCTCACGCAGGTGTTGGCGGTGCCGCGGTTGGCGACGACCAGGCCGTTGGCCGTCACTCACGCCTGCACCGCTCGCCTCTTGGCGTTGGGCTAGGGGCTGCCCCAAGCCAGCGATTTGGCATTGAGGTCGCCCATCACCAAAATATTCACGCTTAAGCTCACGGCCGAGCTGAGCCTCAACAAGAACGGCTCAAATTCGGCCATTGGGCGGTTGGGGGAAAAATAAATGCCCACAACCGCCATCCCTCCTCCGCACACTGCCACCACGTAACCGGCCCCCTCTCTTTTACGACGAGATGGGGAGCCGCCGACGGCGTGACGATGGCCACGACGCCGTCCATGTCCCCAGCCCAGTTGGAATGGCTGGGAACGTAGTACGGGTCCGCGGCTACCGCAACGTCCACTGACCACTGCGCCATGGACTGCATGAACAAGTCCTGTGCTCTGGCGCAGTGGTTCAGGTTCGTCTGGAAGAAGTTGAGTTCAAGCCTGTCCATCAATAGACATCTCAACTTCCTACACTGGCGCAGCCGTAGGTACCGTCGCTGCGGTGGAGGCCTGGAGCCTCCTTAGCCTTCATTGGGGGAGGGCGACATGCCTCCCCTCCCATTATGTGCGCCGCCGGCCGACCAAGATAGGCGCAGATGGCGCACTTTGGCTCCGCCTGACATCCAGCCGCCCGGTGACCTGGCTTGCCGCACCTGTAGCACAAATTGCTCCGGTCCAAGCTCACTGGGCAGCGACGCCCTACGTGACCGATGCCCATGCAGCGATAGCACCAACTGGGCAACGGCTCAAGCACTGTGACGTGTGCAGTGCTCCACCCCACCCGGAACTTTGTGGCGACCACCGCCTTGGCAGCTGGCATGGGGCAGCGTACGACGAAACCGCTAGATTGGTTTACTTTAGCTACTTTCACAGTCTAATGACATACGGCATTTTGCTTTGGGGTAACGCCGCCGATATCAATAGAATATTTGTCCTGCAGAAACGTGCAGTTAGGGCAATTTACAATCTGGGCCCCAAAGTATCTTTGAGAGATAAGTTTAAGGAAATTAACATTCTTACACTAGCCTCACAGTACATATATGAAAATGTAATTTATGTTAAAAGGAATAGTAATTTATTTATGAAAAATAGTGACAGACATAACATTAATACGAGGATTAGAAATAAACTAGCTTTTCTTGATAGTCGTCTTCACAAAGTCAAAAAATCATTTAAGGGGCAATGTATACGCTTCTATAACAAGATTCCGGTTGATATACAAAATTTGCCTTTCACGAGGTTTAAAACTATAGTGAAACAAAAACTTTATACTAAAGGTTATTATACAACTTCTGCGTACTTGGATGACAAAAATCCGTGGTAGTAACCCGTTTAGCTCATGGAGGTAGTCTCGTTCTCTGATGTTTCAAATAAAAAAAAATATTGTAAATGTTATTTACAAAGAGCAACCCCTAGAGTTTCTTGCTCATTCTTCTCAGGGGAATCTGCCTTACGAATGAGCGGTAGAGTTTAACTATTGTGACGATTTCAAGTGTAATAATGCTTACCTATGAAATAAAGATTATTTTGAATTTGAATTTGAATTTGAATTTGAACGACTGCCCCGCGGCCTTCCGCTCCGGTGGTGATCGCGCCCACCCGAACCTGGTCAACAGAGCATGATCCTTTCGCCGCCACGGCCGCACGCACCTCCTCGACCTCGACGGAGTCGTCGAGGTCGGAGATGCGCAGCTCCACGCATTTTGTGGGCCGTGCGTCACTGGCGGCGCCCGAGACCTCCTGAATGCGGGCCCCGGTGAACCTAACCTAACCTAAACTTTTTTTTTGACGGGGGAATCTTTATAGATACCCTTGAGCCCAGGGAGACTCAGGGATTATGTGGGGATTCTCCCTCCAGACTGGAGAGCCTACCCCACTAAAACCACTCCCGTGTTTCCCTCTCGCCGGTTGTTGAGTCTATGTGACACTTGATACTGGACTGCCTGCGTCTCCAGAACCTCGACACAAACCTCAGTAATAGTATCAACGGTGTCACAGGCACAACGTCAAGTAGTCGCACAACACCGATTATTAAATCACGCCGAACACGGTAACCAGGACATAAAGACAAAAGGAGTGGTATTGTTTATGGAAGACAACTCGGAGATACTCGGAATCTGCTTCTACAACGCGGATGAGTAACCACCCGGCCTCGCCTCCGTCTTGAATGGCAGTACCTTCAAAACGAGCATCAAAAGGAAGAAACGATACGATGCCTTTAGAGTACTATTTCTGGCAAACCACTTGAATCCGACCAAGCAACAAGTTTTACCCAGGTATGCTCAGTACTAGCCGAACTCGGGGGAGGAGTGGGGGCCCCCGTCCCCTACGCTACGCCACAGAAAATAAGCTTAGATGCGGTGGGGTGTGTGTGAGGTGGTGGAATATCATAAGAGCGAGATAAAGATTTACATCGGAGTGATAAAAGCCTCAGAACCATGGTTTACGAAGACAGAGGCGAAAATCTCAATTTTCTCAAACCACGAAGATCCGATGAGGCCTTAACACTTATCCCCGTAAACAGCTGGGGACACCCCATAGATAATCCGGAAGGACTCAGCGGGTCCGAATGCTTGCAACAAAAGGCGGCCCTCGAAGCAAAGCGAAGCAAACCCATAAACTAGTTGGAGCTACCCAAAGATGCAGACCTAGAAAAATTATCAATCTGGAACGAGCTTACGCCTGTGGCCCTCATGGTACTAGAGTGTTCACTGCGAAAAGCACGAAGCAGTCGTCGGCCGCTCTGGCAGAAGAGCCGACTTATACTTCACAGCATACTTATACTTCGATCATACATTGTAGGTGAAAAGAAAACTAGACATTTAACAAATGTTTTTATTTTCTCTATCAAAAGAAATTCGACTCATTTTCGATCACGTCATTCGTCGTATAAACTATAATAATAATAATTTATTTAATTTCATATTTACAATAGGTTTTAATATAATTATTTTATAAGTTACATGTAATATTATTACTAGGACAGACGAACCGCCTAATGTCTGGCGTCGTTATGATATCGTGATATTATTAAAAAGTTTTCGCCGCGCACCCCGCACTTCTGGCTACACATACTGAATTATTTCACTCGTGTAATTTGCTATCAGGTAGTTTCCATCGCTGGAAGAGTGGCAGTGAATGGCACGACGCAGAGCGGAAGGGGCGCGGGAGCGCGCGGGCTGAAAGGGCGACAGCGGTCAGCGCGGTGGCGGCGGCGGTGGGGGTCGCGGCTTAGCGGTGGCATAGGCAATCTCCGAGAGGCGCACATCGATGGGCGCTCTATCATCGTATAACGTCGGTGCCTGTAAGATGATGCCAGCCGAACCGACCACCACGGCCAGAGTGAAGATCCACAGGAACAGACGATCCAAAACCATCGCTACGTATTTCCAGTCCTCTTTCACCTGTATCACGGGAAACGGTAAAACATTAAAAAGATCGAAGTGAAAGTGCCATTTCTTCTGATATCGGAAAGCACGTACGCGAGTAGATTCCTCCTCTTTGCGCGTTTGTTCGGCGATGTAGTTGATACCATCAATGGCCTTGTGCAGCTCAGGACACCGGTGCCAACGACGAAGCGCGTCACATAGCGCGCCCGCGTCGTGCAAGCGGCAGATGGGCGGTGCACCAGCGGGCGGCGGTGGTGCGGCCTGAGGAAGCTCGCATTCCCCGCCCGTCCACACACCGTCAGTCGCGCCAGCCAAGCCCGTCGTTTCATCCCAGTGCAGCGCCTCACTAGTCACCAGTCCCGCACTGTAAAACATGAAAATTCGTACAACTGGAGACCCTTGGAAAAAGAGGATGCGTGAGTTTAGTGAGGAAGTGCGTCATACTCACAAACGACTCTGATGAGGATCGGGGCGGTAATGCGGACGCCGCATGACCAGAAGTCGTGGCAACACGTGAATAAAGACTCGACGCACCCATGGCGCCATCGTGTGTGTCTGCGGCGACCGAAAGTGGACGTTCAGCACGACTACAGTCACGCAGATGCTGGAAAATACACTCACAATAAGTCGGTTTATTTCCCCCCTCGATCGAAGACCCTCTTTGCCCTCCTCGCTCACCTGAATGTGTCAAGAATCATGGTGAAGAGCACAAATTTTCCGAGTAGTGGTACCACTAACGAAGTGGGCGGAATGATCTCGGCCAGAAGCAGGAAGAACACGGTCAGCGATAGCAGGATCGAGATCGACAGCGACACCTACGCAGATAACCAATTTCATTGAGCTAGACGTGTGACTGCAATGCGCGCAATGTTATTTTAATGACAGAAAATAACCTTTTCGCCGCTGTCGGAGGGTAGGTAGAAAACAAGCACGGTAAGGAAGGAAATCCCCATACAGGGAATTATTAAATTCACCGTGTAAAAAAGCGTTTTGCGTCGCATCGTGATGTTGAAAGTTATATCTAGATATGGCTCATCGCAGCAAGTGTAGAACTTCTCGTTCCTGTAACAACAACAACAACATTGATAAATATGTCTAGATTGTGATCATTGCTGCGTACATTTTTCACCATTCGTTATTTATGGGTTCCCGTACCACGACTAGGGTTATTGATTTCTTTATTATTTCAATACAGAGGTAGAAATATATTTGAGTGTAAAACAATATATATACCTGATCGCGGGCACCTCGAGGATGTCCCACTCGACAGATGTGTAGAACTCCGAGAGATCGACGCCTAGCTCCACAACGTTAGTGCCGCGAGCCTCGTCGATGTGTCGCAAGTCCACCTATGAAACATGTTCGTTAATACCGTACAATAATGAGGTGCAGTTACAATTTTGTTACGCTACCCACCTGAAAACCATCGTAGGTCCACGAACCAAACTTCATAACGCACGTCTGTTGGTCGAAGGGGAAATACTCGACGTCGATTTCGCAAGACGATTTGTAAATGGCGGGCGGGCGCCACTCGACGCGGCCCGTGTAGTTGAGCGTCGCCTTCGTCGCCAGCGTCACCTCAAAGTTGCCGTCGGCGCTGCGGATTCAAGAGTCGGTTAGACCGGGAGAGAAGCGCAGCAGTGGGAGCGACAACGGCACTCACTTATTGTAGAGCACGATATCGGGGCGCCATATGTGGTCGGAGGGTACGTGCAGCATCTCAACGCCGCCATACTCGCGTGGTTCCCACGACAACTTGTAATCGTACCAACTCTGCAACACCGTACACCGCTCATCTCACTTTTATATTCAATTATTTCGTTGCTATATTTTCGTGATATTCATTAAAAATAGATACATTTTAATGGTATGCCTCAGAATGCTATACAACACATCAGTAACCTAGGAAACGTAATTTTGATATGGCTAATAAAAGCATATTGCAATTTCTGACCTGTTCTACCCACAGATTGGTAGTCATAATCTGGTTCTTGAGGTTCTGTAATTAAAAAATATTACGTTAATTTGCATCGGTTATTACCGCACGAAGAAAGAAACTGTGCGCGCTAAATGAATGAACAATAAGAATTTTCAAATATAAAGAGGTAACTAAATTTTGTATATTTACATAAATGTTAATGAGAAGTGAAATAAAATTTGAAACCAAACTCTAGTTTCGATCATTAGTTTGCTTTCTAAGAAATTCAAAGTAAGTGTGCGGCGTGGAACTGGGGACGGGGGCGCGGGTGTGAGTGTTAGAACTGACCACGTCGATGAGCTGGCTGAGTTTAAGCTTGATGCGCACGGTGAGAGCGTCGCTGACATTGAGCACGGGCCGCACCAACTTGTTGTAATTGCTGAGCAAGTCGTCGTAGAGCCGCTTAGCGTCCGGGTTGCCGCCGCACCCCGCTGCAACACAACCTGCGATCAGCGAAAGGCGTGAGTTGTGGCGCTGCGGCCTCGATTAAGACCCTGACACAGACGAAACACTGACCGGCAAAGACGAGGGCGAGCAGCAGCAGGCGCGCGGCGGGGGCGGCGGGGGCGGCGTGGGCGGCGGGGAGGGCGCGCGGGCGCATGTCTGCCGGGGCGGCGCGCGCATGGCGTCAGCGCATCGCCCGCGCCGCGCTGCCACGCGCACACCTGCGCACAAGCACACCAGTCAGATGGGGCAACAGCGGTCGCTGGTCAAGAATGAATTATATACTGTTATGCGATTTTTCAGCAACTGATTTTCTGCTGTTTTGTAGTTTTGCATGCGAGACGACAATGATTGCGCATCAATATTGTGTAGTGTTGCCAGATGGTTACGTTTCTTGCATTCTTTCGGAACTTAAGTAATTTGTGTTTTAAGGCAATTTTCGTAACTTTTGAGGAAATACAACTATATTTGTTATTGTAAATCGTAAATGGTTTACGAACACACCCAGATTAGACAAAAAAGTTACTCTGAGGGTTAAAATAAAATCAATCAATTACTGGCATCGAGTATATAATGTACTCGATAATTACTGACATCAATGTAACTTTTCAGGTGCCGAAATGTAATTGTCGACTCAAAGGCCCTGGCTACACCTCGGCAACACAGATTGTGTAAAACAAAATAGCTGTTTTCAGCACCAGTTATATTTAAATTGATTGATATTAACTGGCTGTCGATATCAAATATTAAAATCGACATTATTTCTATTGCATAACGCACAAAATCGTAGTTTAAAATATGTGACTTATAACAATAAGATAACAATAAAGTACAAAATGAGAAAGTGATATTGTGCCCTGAACGATTATAATCGTAAGATTTGCAAACCGTAGCATCCATTTTTCTCTCACTGCCTTTGGCTATCGCATACTTGCTTGTTCGCGCGACACAATGCAACAGCAGAATAGCAGTAACAACAACAGCTTCAGTTGTTCGATAATGAATCATACCACCTTGAACACCAATGATCACATGGGGACACTTGCGTAATAAGAACTTGAACTTGTGTGATTCATATCATTTAGTTTAGTTTATTTAAGGTTTCTAGAAGCCTTATTCTTATGTAAAAAATAATGTTAATGAATTGCGATAAAAAGAACCGGGAAGTAAATATAGGAGTTCACTACCATCTTTCTTAGTTTTTAATATTGAAACATTCACGACCGAAAGACAAACTCAACAGTAAAGTTGCGATTATAAACAATTACCTACCAATAAATTGCCTTTCGTGATAACACTTTACTCCTTGTGCTTGGAAAAATATTTGACGTACAGACAAACATGCAGACACTAACAAGTATGACCGTCCACACGTGGAGCCGAATGGGAGTTAAAATAATAAACATGAACCATAAGCGTGGGCCGTTTACTTGCGTATTTGCCTTATTGACTTCTTTGAAGTGCGTCGAGAAAACAGACCAGTGTGCGGTTACGCGTGTTCAGTGTTTGCTGTATTTATCGAATAGACAAAGAATACAAATACTTCATCGTTTACTTTGTGATTGTTTGCCAAATATATCAAATAAGTACGCAAATAGAAACAGCCGTGTGAAGTGCCATAATTACTTTCACAATGCCTGTTATAATTGTTCAATGGCGAATAATGAAAAACTTGAAGCATGCCGTTAATCGGTTGGCGACCGCAATGAAGCTGCTATTACGCAAGCCGAATTCATTCCTCGGCGCTTTCTGCTACGCCCGATTGGTAAAAGCGGGAACAACGGCGAAATGATCACAACATGCAAGACGAACTCAAATGCACTTCTTCCATTTCCAATGCTACTTATAATCCAATCATGGTGATTTTGACAGATCGTTTTAGATTCTAATACAACCCGTTCGCTGTAATAAGTACAGTACTATTATGGTACTAGTCAATAACAGTGTAGAAATTTAAAATTCAATGAATTTTCAGCTTGCTTAAAAATCTGTTAAGGCGCGTTCAAATGAGGTGTTTGTAGAAACGCTGTAATCGGGGATCTGTGCAAAAGCATCTAATTTGAACGCAGGGTGCGATAAGATTTTTTGAAGCAAGACACGTTTGGGACATTAAAATCCATTTCACATAGGATGGGTACTGTGACATTTCCAATTTTTATGTTGCACGCATACTATATTTTATTTATTTCTCAGCCAGGTTGCAAAAAGAAATAGTAGCTTTGTTACAACTTACCAAAAACAAACAACATTGTTGCAATTAATTGTAATTTTAAGTAGAATCACAGTATATTAAGTAGACAGAAAATGAAATGATAAACATAAATTACCTCAATTACTTGATACGTAAAACGGAATGTACATCCATACAGATTTACATCATATAATCGATAAATTGAATTGGCTTCTATATATCTCTCTAAGGTATCTCGCGTCAATCTGAGTGCATACACCTTTTATGCGGGTCGCTTTCCTTTGTTTTGAACTTTGTGTGATGTTTTTGGAGTACTGAATTGTCCAAATTTCATTTCGTTGTTATTGGTTTTATGTATTGTTGTCGTCTTTTTGTTTGGTTGTTGTTTACTTTTTTATTTGTTGTGTAGTTTTTCAGTAACTTAATAACATAACAATATAATCCTTTTCTTTTTGTTTATTATCTTTTCTTAAATTATCGTCTCTAAATCGATTCTCTCTGCGTTTAAATTGTCTCGATAAAATACTTAAATCGATTTTTCTTCATTCGATTTTACCTCCAGAGACTTCAAATGTCAAACGTCACCGTACCCATGTTATGTGAAATGAACCATCCTGGCAGCGTTGAGGAGAACAACAACATGTTCAATTTCAATGTACGTATTGGTATCATCCTGTTGTTAGCAGCACATCACTAGGTTTTATAAGAAGAAAGTCGTAGAACGTAACCATATAAGCGCCGTATCATAAATACAAACTATCTGCGATTATAACACAAAATATCTATGTATTGGAAATGCAATTCAAATGAAATATAAAAATAGATTGTTTTATTAATACCGGGTAACCGAAACAAAAAACACGTTGTTCGTGTTCATAGAGGAGATAAATTAGATAATAAGTTGTTATCTATTTTGACAAATACTATTAAGATACGTTATATCGCCGTTACTAGATGTCAAAATCACCACGCTTTCTTCGTTTCAATAACAGTTAAAACTAGGTGTCCATTTTATGTAAACAGATACAAGAGTGCCGTACAATAACTGTATAGTCAATGGCGAGTTAGGCTCTAAGGCAGAATTGCTGCATTCCGGACAATAATGACTCTAGCGTTAGGCAAGGTTATCTATTTAGGTTATGTATTTTACTAGAAAGGCTTCGCCGAAACAATTGCTTCAACTTTAGCTGTATATAAATTAGCGGCTCGAATAGAATCTCTGACACTCTAAGATAAATTAGCAATAAAGTTAAAGCGTGACATCGCGTCGTCGCAAGCGAGTGACGTGCCATTATCCGGGCCTCATTCCGTGCTCTTATTGCGGTATTCGGTTCGCACGTCTGCTTTAGTGGAAGATACTTAGAGTGGTGTGGCGTACTTCTTCGTGCCTTGTTCATAAACACACGGCATCACTTTAATTGGAGTTACTGACAACTGTCAATACTGTTTTACAATATTGTCTTGTCATATTGCATTATCTTTTGATAACGAAGCAAAGTGCGATCTAAAAACTTTTATTTTTTTCTATTCTTTAAGTCTAAAAGTTACCAGTAGTACTACTAGAGTACTACGGCTAACGTCATGCCACGGAATATTGCGGCCAGGAAAGTTTATCAGACGAACTGAGGGCTCACATTGATACAGAACAAGATTCGCTGTGTGAAAGACAAACAGGGCGCATAGTAAAAAAATTATTTCTATGTGCAAAATAAAATCAGAATTGTTAGACACGGGACAAGCGAAGTCTTAGCGACGTTATCCCGAGTAGGTACATCGCTTTATTATCTCAATTGTCGAACACACAGTTTCAAAACAAATATTCACGACTGCTGGTCAAGAAATACTGTAAAGTTTAGCGAACTGCGTGTACAACAGAGCAGTTAACATCGATTTAATTTTATTACTGTGCCATGCCTGCCATTTACCATGCAGGCGGGTGTTTTCCGAAAACACTGGAATATTATCGACATATGAAACAGTGGTTGGGTCTTTTCTTTTTTATCGGAGATTAAAAGAATCGACGCAACATTTGTAATTCCAAGCGGAACACGTGCACGTTTATAAATCTGAGGGGCACAATGAAATTACAGAAAAAGTTTCCCAAAGCAACCCGATCTCACGGCAAGAGGGCGGAAGGTGGGGCCCGAGCCCGCGACGGCGGTGGTGCAGCGGAGGCGCTCGCCTGCAGGCCCAGCTCAGTGCATGACGGGCGGGCGACGGCGAACGGCGACGGCGCTGGGCGCTCACGGGGCGCGACGGCACGCGACGGGGGACATGGCACGGACCGGACGCGCGACGCGCGGGCTCTCGACTCGGCGGCGCGCCGAGGACTGGCGCGGGCGGCCGCCGCCCTTCGCCTCTCCGCCGCCCGCCCTGCACCGCCCGTCCTCGCCACTGGTGCAGCGCCGCTTTTCATTTCGGATCGCCCGGTTCGCAGCGGCGATCGCGTATGGCCTCCGGGCGCCTACACAAATTGCACAATGAGCCGAGAAAACTGACCTGCGTTTCGAGCATACAACAGACGTTGCATTGGACTCCTTTGTTGAAAAGTTTCGTTGGGTATGATTTTGGGTAAAAGACGGTACGTTCATGATTTGTATAATTAACCCTTATTTTGTGACCTCAATTGTAAGTTACGACTATTTTAATTTCAACTTTATGTTACATGGTATTTGAATAATCAACAAAAATGTGTGAAATATTACCGTTCTTAAAAAGATAATTCTAATTTATCCGTGTCTTTTCCACGAATTTACTTTTTAATTACAACACAAATGTCAGCGGTCTGCAAGTATTTATCAATTTTGTTTTTCACATTAACAGTGCTTTTGCCCAGGCAATAAAGAAAATCACGTGCATGCGGGGGTTTGCTAAACGACTATCGCTACCGAAACAAAAAGGCAAACTAGTAATTTGGCCTGGCTTGCTTCAAAAGCCTGCCGATTCTCTCGTACTCCCATTATTGCCACTT